TGAGAAAAAATAAGAACCAAGAGAGATTATGTAAAGGTGCAAATTTTCAATGATGAATGTCATTATATTTTATACCTAAAATGTACCAATAAAAAGATATACAGTTTAAAAAAAAGAATGCTTTGTTCTATTTTTGCTAGGCCTCACTCATGTCAATACTTCTGATAATCACTCCACATGCCTGACCATGTGCTCACCCCTGCTGCTTTGTGCTCAATAAAGTACTGGCAAGTCTGGAGGTTCAGGATTTTTGCTCACTGTAAGCTCTGACCTCCTGGGCCTCATTTCTTCTACTATTTATCTTTGTCTTCTTTCCCCATAGCATAACTAATTGGGGGTCAGGGACTTTGTTGGGGGTCCCCAATAAATCAGGTGGAGCCAAGGAAATTTCTCCAGACTCCTTCTCTGTATACTTTGTGGTCCTTGCTGCTACTCAGGATCATGGGACACATGGGACAGCACTGGCACTGTGTCCTGGTTACACTGTGACTTTGCTGGGTAACAGATTTTGGAGAGAGGCTCATGCCATAAGAGTGTCAATTACTCCAAAATGACCCACCTAACCTTCCATGGAGTCTACTGGCCTGGGTAGGAATCATCACAGAGAGTGGCAGAGGATCAGATACATGACTGGATGGATGCATCAACATTGTCTGAATGTCTTACCTGCAAGAACTAATGTGACTAAAGTTAATAATCTTCTGAGAAACAGTGGAGCATGTGAGGCTCTGAGATTCTAGAATCAGTGAGAGGAAAAAGTGCTTTTATATCCAACCAAGAGTAAATAAATTTTTTAAAAAATAAAATATTGACAGGCAAGGGTGAGAAAGGAAATACAAACCCAGTTACCAAAACAAAGTTTAATCAGCATATTTAAGGCACACTAATTCACGAAGGGGAAAAAACATAAGGAAATACATTGGAAATATAATGATCTGCAGGCAAAAGTTACCATATAAGTAATAAAAGTGATTGAGAACAACGTGTGGAACCCAAGATAAAAGCAAGTAATATAATCAAACTTAAGCAAAAATATAAGGATTTATTGCAGAATTTACAAACAAAAATTTCCAGAATAAAATTCAAAGTGAAAGGTGATACAGATATTAGTAGCATTAAGATTATTATAGAAAAAAGTAAGAGTCAGTTGATTACTGAATTAAACCCCAATTTTTAATCTAACAACTACGTGAAAAAATTATTCAGAATTGCCAAAGAGGCACTATGTATTTCAGGAAGCACATTTTTTTTTTTGTAACTAATAAGGTTTCTTTTTGACAGAATGTGTTTCATCTCTGAACCAATGCAGAGAATTTCTTTCTGGTCTAAACAAAATAATGTAGCACTTAGGGGCAAAGATGCAGCCCAGCAGCCCTGCACTGGAGGCCAAGATGGAGAAGA